TGCAAGTCATTGTTTACTAGTGCTCAAAGTTAGTCACTGATCATACATACTTACTGGTCATAGATACTTACTGCTCTTAGTTACTTAATGCTCATAGTTAATCAATGATCATAGTTACTTACTGATCATAGATACTTACTTGTTTTAGATACTTACTGATCAGAGTTAATTACTGGTAATAGATAATTACTGTTCAGAGTTACTTACTTACTCATAGTTAATTGCTGATCAGTCATTTTTTTCTTAAAATTTTCTAATCGTTCCTATGGAAGCTATATATATGTATATATATAGTCCCCCGATCCTCCATGCTCCAACTTATATACTAGTAAAATATATAGGAGAATAACTCCATAGTTTCATTGTAATAGATCCAAAACAAATCTCGCACATCTGTGCTTATGATTCCCAACTGGTTCTCACCTCCCCGGAACGAAGTGACTGCTGCTGGGCTCGTCTCAGATATGTGTTGTGTTTCAAAAGTTGCAAGTCATTGTTTATTAGTGTTCAAAGTTGGTAAGGGATAATCCATACTTACTGATCATAGTTACTTAATGCTCATAGTTAATCAATGATCATAGTTAATCAATGATCATAGTTACTTACTGATCATACTTACTTACTGGTCATAGATAATTACTGTCCAGAGTTACGTACTGCTCATAGTTAATTGCTGATCATACTTATTTATTTTCTTAAAAACTTCCGATCGTTCCTATGGCAACTATATATATGTATATATATCGTCCACCGATTCGCCATGCTCCGACTTATATAGTACTAAAATAATATAGAAGAATAAATCCATAGTTTCATTGAAATGCTCTTATATTTGTTCCAAATAAAATTTCGCACATCTGTGCATATGATTCCCAACTGGTTCTCACCTCTCCGGAACGAAGTGACTGCTGCCGGCCACGTCTTAGAAATGTGTTGTGTTACAAAAGTTGCAAGTCATTGTTTACTAGTGTTCAAAGTTAGTAACTGATCATACATACTTACTGGTCATAGTTAATCAATGATCATAGTTACTTACTGATCATAGATACTTACTTGTTTTAGATACTTATTGATCATAGTTACTTTCTGGTCATAGATACTTACTGATCAGAGTTAATTACTGGTAATAGATAATTATTGTTCAGAGTTACTTACTTACTCATAGTTAATTGCTGATCAGTCATTTTTTTCTTAAAATTTTCTAATCGTTCCTATGGAAGCTATATATATGTATATATATAGTCCCCCGATCCTCCATGCTCCGACTTATATACTTGTAAAATTATATAGGAGAATAACTCCACAGTTTCATTGCAATAGCTCCAAATCAAATCTCGCACATCTGTGCTTATGATTCCCAACTGGTTCTCACCTCCCCGGAACGAAGTGACTGCTGCCGGCCACGTCTCAGATATGTGTTGTGTTTAAAAAGTTGCAAGTCATTGTTTACTAGTGTTCAAAGTTAGTAACTGATCATGGAGGTACCTAAATTGATTTGGCTGATCAAGGCACTCCTTCATAAAGAACTATATATTCTTCTGAAGATTTGATTCTTTAAAGACTTTACAAGGAGTGTGTTAATGAAGAATACCTATTTTATGAATTATTATATATTAATGACCAATTTCACTTTGTCAGCCTAGAAAATTCGCAATGAAAATTCAAAGCAAAATCGATATAGTATGTAGAGAGAGATGGGTAAGGGATCTGATCACTATATATATTATATTTGAAATGCCGATGGGCAAACACATGTCGACGACTGTGCTCCTGCAAAGGTGAGTGATTAATGTGCATTTAATTGCGGGTTGGAAGAGGTCGCTTTGCGAGATAAATTCGAATTCGATAAGTGGAACTGTGGGCCGCTAAATGTTCCCATTTATTAATGATTAAATATATATTTATACATATGTATATACCGGCGATGTATAGATAAATAAATAAATAATAAATAAAGTAAACAACATCGCACCGATCTGAGATAGAAAACCCCATTTGCATATCAACTTTTCGCATTAAATTCAATTGAAAGCTTTTCTCACTTTAGCATCATTTTGAAATTCAATGAGCCGCCCTCGCCCTGCGTTTGCTAATGTATTTATTGCCATTTCGATGCGAGCACAAAATTTATGATGGCATTAAGCAAATGTTAAATGCAAAATAAAATATTGTAAGGCCGGTGTAAGCAATAATTTAGCAATTTATAGTGTTAGTTGTAATTTACACGGACCGCAACATAACCAAGCACCCCCTTTTTCTCCCTCCAGATTCCTAGTTCGATTCCCATTCCGGGTCTGAATATTGGCGGGGAATTAGCATGGTTAATTGTGTGTTCGCCGCTGTCACTTTAGCTGAAACGCATTTATATTTCACTTCCCACTTTTTATCATTGCAACAAGTGTTTTGTTAATGATATATACATATATATAGAGAGGCAAAGGCATTTCGGATCGTGATGGATAGCTTTTACGTTGTAAGTGCGAGAAATCTGGGAGGAATCGAGAGTTATGGGATAATATTTGCATTATTTCAATAGACTTTAAGCGATCTTCTGGGGTGTCTTGGTGTTTTTGGGAAGATAAGATTGACTAATTGATATTATTTATAATTCTTTATTAATCAATTATCTATTTTGTTTATCTACATTAGCTAGATTATTTACTTGCTCCTTTATTTATTTATTTATAAAGCATAATTCAAATAAATAAATAATTAAATTAAATAATCAAAATAATTCCCAGGTATAACTTAATAATTAATTCTCGTTTCATATTAATATAATTTATTTTCTATAAATCTTAGATTGTTTTTTAAATTTTACACCGGACTTTTGACATTAATCAGTGGCGCCAGCTGTGCGTTTATTATGTAAACTACCAGAAAGCAGTGCTAGAAAATACGATAGATGGTGCTGGTGACTGACTGAACAAATTGGATTTTGAAATCAAATTTAAACGGATTTTAACGGGCTCCATTTTAATATATTCTTATGAAAACAGTAGTTTTTAATTAAATAAATCTATTTATTTCAAGAAATAATAGACAGAGGGACCATTTCACATATTTCACGCTTCTGACTAAAACTTTTATTCCATTTTTTGAGCCAATATTTATTTATATTTTATATGTCTATTTTTTTATTAACTGAAGCTTAAAAATATCATAACTCAGCAAAAATTCATTAATTTTAAATCGGAAAGCGCTCCTATGTTAGTTTTTATGAGGATAATAAATCTGCATACTCAGTTAAAATTAAAAAAAATTAAAATTTTTTGTAAATTTTTTAAATAAAATAAAATATAATCATAAAATTTTGAAAAAATTTAAAAATTTTGTTTTCCGCTTGAGATAGCTAGATCGATTCGGCTATTAATGCTGATTAAGAATATATATGATTTATTGGGTCGGAAATGACTCCTTCACTGAATTTTTAAGCTTCTGAATTAAATTATAGGCTATAAAAATAGCATATTTTTTTCTAAATAATTGTGGATATGCGGTTTTCGAATTCAAAGCTAATTTTTGGGTTTATTTATTCCTGCTATTTCGTGCTTTATTATTGAACTGTCTGTGAATTCCGCGAACTATAAACGCGGGAGTAACGAAGCAAATAATTCCGATGGCCACATGTTGCCATGCCACACCAAACACACACCAGGCACACCACATGGCGAGCCCAAGAAGACACGCAGCTCCACTGATAGCGACGCTTCTGCGATGAGCAAGCCTTCTATCAGATACAGATACGCACAGCCCACTCTTACTCTCTCTCACTCTCACTCTCTCTCTGTATCTAGACATCTCTCACACAGATACAGAAACAACACACACTTACAGGAGACTGGTGCAAACACAAACAAACCAAACTGTGACACAACTTAAGATATATTTTTTACTTTATTAATAATTAATAATAAAATATTTTGTAGACTTTATTCCCTCAAAGAACTTATTTTTTTATGTATCTCTAGTATCAATTTTCTAGCTGAGCATCAGTAACCGAGTCGATTTAGACAGTCATAGAGTTACTTAGGGAAATGCAATTAATTTTTCTTTTAGAAAAGGGAAAGAAGAGAGCTAGATCAAAAAGCATTTTTGTATAACAAAAGACAATATGAAAAAATAAAAAATAAAAATAAATAAATAAAATAAATAATAAATAAATTAAATAAATATAATATATATAATATATAATAAATATAATATAAATAATATAATAAAATAAATTATATATTTTAAAACCAATACTTATTATATTCTAAATTGAATATAAATGAGATGGAAAAGAGACAGATCAAAGGGCATTTGCTTATAGAAAGGCCAATAGGAAGATTAATAAATAAAAAGAAATAAATAATATAAATAATAATAATAAAATACATATTTTTTAAACCAGTACTTAGTATATTCTTATTTAAGTTTTGAAATACATTTACTTTTATTACTATTATTTCCATTAATTAACCTAAAAGAGTTTCTGTGATTTATTGTGACTTACCGTGATCACCTGTGACCTGTGCGCATCTCTGATGCCTTGCAAACACAGCTGACGGTGAGAGAGATAGATTGAGAGAGAGAGAGAGAGCTGAACAGCGGCAAAAAGTATCTCTCAGTTGTCGGGGATCGCCGCAGAGTTTAGTTCTTGGACGTAATTCAAAGTTTTTTGACGTTTCTCCCCGTCAAAGCAAATAACAAAAAGCAGCTCTCCTTCTTCCCTTAAGAGAAAATTAACAAATCAACCGAAAACGCAACCGTATTTTGTGTAAATTAAATTGCTGCATAAGAAATAAAAGTATTTATATATACATATAGAGTGAGAGAGAGAGAGAGAGAGAGCGAGCGAGTGAAGATGATGATATTTTGTTAACAACAAGTGGCTCTTTATTATTATAATTATTATAATTATTATTATTGTTGTGCGTGCTTGGCCAAAGAGAGTTTTATTATCCGTTTTCTTACGTATTTTTTTGCGTGTTATGTGTGTGTGTTTTTTTTTTTTTGTGTGTGTTGCCGTGAATCGACCTTTGCGAACCTAACGTCGTAACCAGCAAAAAACAAAAAACAAATGTATAAAAAAACAGCAACAACTGGGCAGCTAATAATAATTAAGCAGCGTGTTTCAGAGACAAGCCAGAGTGTGTGTGTGTGTGTGTGTATCTCTGAGGGTGTGGTGGTGTGTGAGCAACCAACTAACTAATTGTCAACAGTCCACAAATTGCACTCGAGCTATCCAAGAGATACGAGCTGAAATCTTATAGATACTACTCTACGTTTAAGTACTCCAAAATCAATATATCCATATGCTCCCCGATCATCCGATTCTTCATGCGGCGACGGCGAAAAAGTGCGAAAAGTGCTAACTGTGCAATCGGTGGGGCAAACGCGATCAGGTAGAGGAACAACAGAACACACACAAAAGTACACACACAGGTGAGTTTTGCTTAAAAATCCGAGAGATACTCGTGTAAGCTAAATACACAAGTATTTCCAATGGGGGGGAAGGCACTTGGATATAGGAAAATAGAGTATTATTTAGGGGGAAGTTACTGAGGAGGGAGTAAGGTTTAAAGTAAATAGTAATAATAAATAGTAAAGTTTATAGATAGTTTGGTATAGTGTATATGGTAAAGTATAGTGTATATAGTGTATATATATTATAATACCATATAAATAGTAAAGTTTATAGATAGTATAGTATGTTAAAGTATGGTAAAGTTTACTATATATAGTATAGTGTAGTTAATATGTATTATAATACTAAAACTGAAGTTTAGGCACCTCAATTAAGGTTTACAATTTAAGATTCTTGGCTTGAAACCAAGATAGACTTAAAAATAAGCATACAAATTTTATAGCATAGTGTATATATATTATATATAAATACTATAATACCATATAAATAGTAAAGTTTATAGATAGTATAGTATGTTAAAGTATGGAAAAGTTTACTGTATATAGTATAGTGTAGTTAATATATATTAAAATACTAAAACTGAAGTTTAGGCACCTCAATTAAGGTTTACAATTCGAGACTCTAGCCTTAAAACCAAGACAAGCTTAAAAATAACTATACAAAGTTTAATTATACTTCGAGATTCATAGCCAAAAATTCAAGCTTTTTCTTAAAAACCATTGGAAAATCTTTACAAGGTTAAAAAAGTCACTGAAAGCTAGTTTTCCAGACGTAATTTCAACAAAATACCCAAAACATTAACCCCACATTCTATTTAAATTAAGAAACTTAAAACACAAATTTTAACATTTAAAAAAAAGGGTTTTAGGGTTTTGAGTTTAACAAAAACTTCTTAACGAAACATTTAAAAAAAATAAAAAATTTCCTGAACATCAAAATAAGAACAATGCAAAGCATGTTTCCCTGACTTAAGACCAGAAATAGCTTTAACAAATTTTACAAAAATCAATTTAAATTAAGCAGTTTCTGTTCTAATGTAAATATATATGAAACAAGATTTTTTGGGGTCTTTAGTTTATTACAAATTTGCCTTAAAGATACTTTTAAAAATCACAAAACTTAAATTATAATTGAGGGTAAAATTGACGCTTTGTGATTTTTAAAAGTATCTTAAAGGAAAATAAAAACTTCCCTTTAGAATACTTTTAGAAATCTTGTATGTAGCTCTTAAATTCTTTTGTATTTATTAAACACAACTCTATGAATCGTTTCCATATACATGTGTATATATATAAACATATATATAAATATGAAATATAAAAAAATACTTTTTCATTTTGTGGCATATATTTAAAAAAAAAGATTAAATGCCTTAGCCTTAGCCTTAGTCTCAGTTTCAGTCTCAGAATCACTTTGCGACTTGCTTAAATGCCTCAATTCGCTGTCAAGGTTCGAGAATCCAAGTCCCAATCTGAATCCAAATCCGAATCTGAATTCAACTCGAAACACTTGTGTGGCATTAAAAAAAAAGTGGAAAATAGAAATAATAAAGAGATCATTAAAAAAGGCAACCCTGAGTTCAACGACTCATTGTGTACCCTTCCACTGGCCGTGTTCTGGCTGATAAGCCTCAAATAAATGAGAATCAGATTCAATAAATCATTGAGTAGAGTATTTGGGGCTTATCTCCCTCCCTCTCTCTCTCTCTCTCTCTCTCTCTCTCTCTCTCTTCCTTTCTCTCTTAAAAATATAATCGAGAAAAATAATAGGGAGAGCATAAGTTGCATAATTAACCCCAAAAACAAAATACCCCCCAAAGGTTGCACACCTGTCGACAGGCATGCAAAATGTGCGTCATCTACACGGAAAATAAATATTTACCCGGCACTTTAATGGACTTTTCCTTGAAGATTTTTTACTACTATAATTTAGAAAATTCAATAACAAATAAATCAAGCATTTATTTAGTGTATTTCATAAAAGAAACATATAAAGATTAACATTTAAAGATGGATTTAGTTTTAGAAAAGAAAGCCAAAAAGAAAGCTCTGAAATTTCCTGAAACTAAGAGAGTTTTTCCTCTGATATTTTTCCTAGAAAACTACATTTTCTTCAAGTACTTTCCCATGTTTTTCTCCCAAAAAAAAAAAAAAGAAAACCCAAAAGAAAAGCTAATGGAATGGCATTCCGTTTCGCTTGAAAAAGAAATGTATGTGTTCCAGTTTACGTTCACCGCCTTTGGATTTGTAAACCAAATAGTTTTCCAAGCTGTTTGTTTATTTAATTAGTATTTGGCTTTGGACTCGGGGCACACACCATCCAGATTCGAGGAGATACATTCTCGAGATGAAACCCTCCACAAGGTGTCCGCCATCCGCCTGGCATGCTCTCAATTGTTTTCCAGACCCAGAGAGATATATCTCTCTTTTTGCAGTCCAATTTACCGAATCGCCTCAATTTATAAATAGAATTTTTCTTTTTTTTTTGTGCTGTCTGGGACCGGGCTGAGCTCCGGGTGTTTACGTATACTCAATCTGGGCTCAAGTGTCTGTGATCCACGAAGATCGCACCCTGAACCGGACACCCAGTGCGTTGCCAAGGCAGCTCCTCCTACACGTAAGTGGAGGGCCAACTCCAATTCCATTTCAAATATTTGCCATCGGTCACTCCGAGTGGCACTGAGTAGAAGTATGTATATAAGGTATATGGTATCGGATTTCTAGGAAAATCATTTAGTTTCGAGAAACTCTTTTAGGTATTTCACCAATTCCTATATATTATTATTATTTCTTGTTTATATTTTGTAAATGAATGGAGTTTTTATTATACAAGTATCGGAAATTACCACAAGTATTATTGGAAAATCATGTAGTTTCGAGAAACTCTTTTAGGTATTTCACCAATTCCTATATATTATTATTATTTCTTGTTTATATTTTGTAAATGAATGGAGTTTTTATTATACAAGTATCGGAAATTACCACAAGTATTATTGGAAAATCATGTAGTTTCGAGAAACTCTTTTAAGTATTTTACCAATTTCTGTATATTATTATTATATCTCTTTATTATTTTGTAATTAAATGGAGTTTTTATTATACAAGTATAGGAAATTACTACAAGTATTATTTGAAAATCATTTAATTTCGAGAAACTCTTTTAGGTATTTCACCAATTTCTGTATATTATTATTATATCTTTTTATTATTTTGTAATTAAATGGAGTTTTTATTATACAAGTATAGAAAATTACTACAAGTATTATAATATTATAAATATTATACTAAATATTTCACCCTAATCTCATAAAAAACAAGTTCATAAATCATATAAACTCAAGTCTTCCCTTAACCTTACTCACATTTCTATGATTTAAACTCACTTATTATTATTAATTTACCATTTTTTACTGCTGGTAGACTCCATAAAATAGGGGGAACCTCTTTCCTGTGCCTTCCCTGACTAGTTCAGATCCCATGAGTAATATTTACCGACGCGTGCCATCAATTTCAAGAACACTCTCCCCCATATTTATATTTCCCCCACACAGCAATACACATATACAGTGAGTGCAAAAGAGAGATTTCCATGCCCATGAAAGCTGCCTAAAGAAAGTAACTATATTTGAGATTTTGGGGCATTATCTCTGAACAATCCAAAGTCATGCTAATGACGCACACAATGACGAAGCGCCATCAATTGATCTTTGGCTGCTTCGGGATCGCTTTGGGTCTATGCATTGGCTCCATGCTGAAGAGCTATCGTACCCTGGAGAATGTGAAGCATTGCAGTTTGCGGCCAACGAACCTCAAGACACCGGCGGAGATTATTGGATTGCGGGATGAGGATACCATACAGAATTCGCAAAGGAATCTAGTGTTTGTGGGCGTAATGACCGCCAAGAGTTTCCTGGAGGGCAGGGCGAGAGCTGTGTACGATACGTGGGGCAAGGAGGTGCCCGGACGGATGGCATTCTTCAGTTCCGAGGGAAGCTATTCGGATGATCTGCCGGTGGTGGGATTGCGCAATGTGGACGATCGATATCCGCCGCAAAAGAAATCCTTCATGATGCTGCACTATATGTACGAGCACTATATCGATCGATTCGAGTGGTTCATCCGTGCCGACGATGATGTCTATATGGAGCCGGATAAATTGGAGAGATTCCTGCGCTCCATCGATAGCTCCAAGCCGCAGTTTATCGGTCAGGCTGGTAAGGGTAATACCGAGGAGTTTGGTCTGCTGTCCCTGGAATTTGACGAGAACTTTTGCATGGGCGGACCCGGAGTGATACTCAGCAGTGAGACACTGCGACGGGTTGCTCCGCACATTCCAACGTGCCTCAAGAATCTCTACAGCACCCACGAGGATGTGGAGGTGGGCAGGTGTGTGCAGAAGTTCGCCGGGATACCCTGCACATGGAACTATGAGGTGGGTTTGCAATTGCATTTTCTATATATACATATTATACTTTTATTTTGGTATTTAAATAAATGAAGATCGTATTAAATGATAAATTTTAAAATTTCATAGCTAAATACTTAAAAAAAAAGTTCAAAAAATCAACGAATTTGAATCCATACTTATTGAGATTTTTAATATGACCGTTTTTTCTATAAAGACAAATTTAAAATATTCATAACTAAGTCAAAAATGCATTAATTTAATTTCGGAAAGCATTCCCATGTTAGTTTTTATTAAGTTAATAAATCTGCATACTTAGTTACAATTTTTTAAAAATTAAATTTTTTATCAAATTTTTAAACATTTTAACGATGTAACCCCTTAAAAAATTTTGAAAAAATTGAAAAATTTTATTTTCTGCCAAAAATAGCTAGAAAGAATCCCCTGTTGATACTGATCAAGAATATATATGATTTATGGGGTCGGAAATGACTCCTTCACTTTCTTTTAAGCTTCCGACTGAAGGTGCAATACCATTTTTTAATGGATATTACCTATTTTGTTACATGCTAATTTTTTCGACAAATCAATATTTAAAAAATTCATAACTAAGCCAAAAATGCATTAATTTCAATTCGGAAAGCGCACGTACATATGTTTATTTTTAGCAGATTTATAAAACTGCATACCATTTAACATGTGAATTTTTGGCCGATTTTTGAAAATATTTACGATGTAACCCCTTTCCTTTTTATTAAAAATAATTCAAAAGGGGTATATTTATATAGATTTTTTTTTACTTTGAATTTTCTCGATAATATATATGTTGTTTAAAATGTTTCGTATTTTATTATATGTATTTTTGTATCTCACAGATGCAGTATATACTGCGTCACAACTCCAGTGGCCGAAATGCATACACTGGTAAGCTGAAAAGGAAGGAGATCCATAATGCCATTACCCTGCATCCCATTAAGCAGGCGCCGCTCATGTATCGACTCCATTCCTATGTCCAGGTGAGTTTTCAAGGGAAATGGAGCAGAGATATTATAAAGATATAATATATAGATATAAACATATACTTATAAAGATATAATAATGATTTTATAAATATTATATATACATACATATATTATGTAGAAAAACTAAAGCTCCATTTTCCGATTTTACTGAAATTTTGTAAGGATATATCTATAGATATTTGTATTCACAGGGTCTAAAGGCGGAGGAGATGCGTCAGGAATCATTGCTCCTGCATCGGGATATCAAGCGAATGGCCAAGTACCTGGAAGTTCCAGATGAGAGCACCTACATGCTGCCCAGTGCCTCACCCGAAAGTAACACCGGCAAGCGACTCTTTCAGGATCACAATATATTGGGTAAGTTCACTACCATATACCCTATTATATCCCCTACTATATCCTATACTATATCCTATAATATATCCTATACTATATCCCCTACTATATCCCCTACAATAATATCCCTTAAAATCCTTTACAAAATCCCCTCAACGTGGTATTTATTTAAACAAACACAAGAACAAAAAATTTACTAAGAAAATGCAAGGATCTAAGGCTGCTGATCCTGATTGCAGAGGGTCAGACCCTTGCCCAGACAGGCGGCATAGCTCATTAGATGGGGCAAGAGATTCTGCTCCATGATGCCGCCAAAGAGATGTGCCTGTGGACCCATGGCAAATACGACCACATCCTCGCCAGCATGGACACCCTTGCGTCCCTTGATAAAGCTCGGTGTGAAGGAGGCTGCAGAGAAAAGAAGATCAAGATTGATACCCCAACTTTATGAAGATCCTTGAAAGAAAACTCACTGGGACTCAGCTTCTTTTTGGGACTCATCCGTCGGCCGGCATTATCCGAGCTCTGCCATTTGCCCACGGCATAGTTAAGGGTACTATAGGGCACTCCATCCAAATCCCGCTGCAGCTGCTCGTCCATGCCCAGAATGGATGTGCCACGATTAGCGGCACCCGCCATGGTCAGCGTATGCGAATGATCGGAGGTGACCACCAGCAGGGTCTCCTGTGGGTCAGTCATCCTTAGAGCTGTCTCCACGGCCTCATCGAACTCGAGGGTCTCGTCCAGGGCATAGCCCACCCGTGTCTCATGGTGTCCATGATCGATCCGCCCGCCCTCGATGAATACAACATAACCCCGACCATTCACTCGACTCTGCTGCTCCAACTTCTCCAAGGCGGCCGCTGTTAAATCACTAAGACGTGGCTGCTCCTTGGTGGCAGCCAAATGATACGGCATGTGGCTATCACCGAAGATGCCCAGGAGGCTACCATTACCGGAGCAGTTCTTAAGCTCTGTCAGCGAGCGGCAGTAGCATCCTTGTGGATTCGTTTGACGCCACTGGAGTAAGAGATCCTTGCCATCACGTCGCTCATCGGCAAATTTGCCAAGGCCACCGCCCAAAAGTACCTTAAAGTTACGTCCCGGCTCCTCCTCCATCAGCTGACGGGCAATCTCCAGCTCCTCGCCACGCCGTGAGACATGGGCATAGCCACCGGCGGGACTGGCATCCGTGAGACGGGTGGTGGTCACCACACCGGTGACCTTGCCCGCCCGCTGGGCCAACTGCATCAACGAGTCCACCGGCTCACCGCTGGCACTCTGACCCAAGCAGCCAACCCGTGTCTTTACCCCGCCCAAATAGGCGGTGGATGTGCAGGCAGAGTCCGGAATCTGGGCATCGATGCAGTACGTCTTGCTGAGACCGGCATAGGGAAAGCGTTCCACAGCAAGCAGAGACTCCTCACCAGTGCCACCGCCTCGCTGTCCCTTCAGGATGCGGGCAGCAGTGAGTGTGGTAATGGATAGACCGTCTGCCAGAAGCATCACCACATTCTTGGCCCTCCGTTTGTCCGGTGAAGAGTCTCTAAGCCGGGCCAAACGCTGCTGGAGTTGCTCCTGTGCCTGACGTATCCAATAGGAGGCCAGCTGTTCATCCGGCAACTTAACCTCCGCCGGCAGCTCAGGCTCACCAGAGACCAGGATGAGGTTTAGGATAAGCGAGAAACCGATCAGCTTGGCTTGGGGCAACATCTTGACTAGGCCGGAGCAAAAAATATATAAAGGAAAACATAAAATAAATAAATGCGAATACCAACTGACAGGCAACGATGGGGATTTATATAGGCCAACTAAGACAGCAGGGAGGGAATTTAACTTAACCCCCTCCTGGGGTTTGGGTAGAGATAACCTGGTTTACCTTAATCCCAAACGTTAATTTATTCTCGCTTTCTTTTTTCAGGCATAAGTCCGGAACTGAATAAATTCGTGCCCGCCAGTACCGATGACCTGTTGGATTGGTCCTTCATTGCTCGCAGCTTGTACTCGGCCAGTTCGGCGAACCCGAAGCAAAAGATTGATTCAGCCATGAGGGAGGGTCTTGAGGATGTCATCACCGAGGTAATGGAGAATATTAACAACTATTCCCGTCAACGGGGACGTGTCATTGAGTTTAAGGAGCTACTCTATGGCTACCATCGTCTGGATGCCTTGCATGGTCAGGATTTGATATTGGATCTGCTGCTCATCTATAAGAAATATCGTGGCAAGAAGATGACAGTGCCAGTGCGAAGGCATCTCTATGTGCAGCGTGCCTTCACCGGGATCTTTGTCAAGGAGTTTGACGAGGACTTTTACAACGTAACCCTACAGCAGTGTAAGTACAAATAATGATCTTCTCCGGCTTTAAATGTATTTAATTGGCATTTTCTTTGGTAGGTCTCCTGGGTAACTTGTTGAAGAATGGCATGGCCCGGTTGAGCAGTATCTTTCCCATGCCCAGCGGTTTGCTGCCACCCACGCAGGATAAGATTGTATTTGTCCTGCCGATTGCTGGCCGGTTGGGCACCTTTGAGCGTTTCCTGCGCACCTATGAGAGGGTCTGCATACGGGGACAGCAGCATTGTGACCTATTGGCTGTGATCTTTGGCTCGTCGGACGAGCTGGGTGACCATTTGCAACTCCTTAATGACTTGCATGCTCGCCATGTTTACCAGCAGGTGAATTGGATTCAACGGAGCAGTACCTTCTCCCGTGGCGTGGCCCTGGATGTGGCAGCACGATCCTCGTATATACGACAAGAGGATATCATTCTGTTTATCGATGTGGATATGGTGTTTGAGGTGGAGACCCTGCAGCGAGTGCGAATGCATACGCAACGGGGAAAGCAGGTCTATTTGCCCATTGTTTTCAGCCAGTATGATCCACAGAGGCGTGGCGGGGGATCAGCGGATGAGGAGACGGAGTCGGAGTCGGAGTCACCTCGAATCGATGATGAGAGTGGCTATTTCCGGCAATTCGGGTTTGGTATCTGTGCCATCTACAAGTCGGATATTCTGGATGAGGATATCAATGGCTTCGATAAGGACATCACCGGCTGGGGCCTAGAGGATGTCAAGTTTCTGGAGAAGATTGTTCGCGTGGGGACACGACAACGGGGCTTCCTTAGCAACACCGCGGAGCTGCCCTTTGATTATAACGAGGCTGCCGAGCAATGGCGCCGGTTGAGTGTATTCCGTGCCCCAGATCCCACGCTTGTTCACATCTACCATGACATTAGCTGCGACATCCAGTTGGATGCACCGCAGTATAACATGTGTCTGGGCACCAAGGCCAATTCCCTGGGCAGCACGCGGCTGATGGAGCAACTGTTTCACAGCAATCCGCAGAATGTACAATTTGCAGCCGATTTCAATCGACAGAAGCAGCAACAGCAACAGCAGCAGGCCAGTTGATCCGATCCCCATATTGATCCCGATACGGATCCATAACCAGTGATCCCGCCAGCGTTCCTGCCACATAGTATTCCCAGCCAGCATTTAAGTCACATTCGAGTCTGTTTCGACTCTTCCTCTAGCCGATTATATTCTATGGATATATATTATATAGTCACAAACAAAAAAATGGGTACTTTTCTGATCCGAAATACTACCCTAGACGGGCACTCTCTTAGAGTATCCAGTGTCCTGGATTAAAAGTCAAAATTCTATTTTAAAAACTGGATTATCTTGGATTATCTTTTTTTAATTCCAATTTGAATCCCTTGAAATGTTTCTTTAATTTAATTATGAATAGTTTTTAAAAGGTATATAATAAGCATTATTAAAATCCGGTTTTGTTTTACTTAAACTTTCTTGAAAAGATGAAGGATTACTTTTTTTTAAGTATATAGGTTTAGGAATCGTTATTTAATCATAGCATATTTTCTTAGGAATCCAAAATTTCATTAATTGCATAAACTAGGAGGTGAACTAACCGCTATATTTAAACTTTTCCTCAATGTTATTTCAAGAAATCAGATTTGAATCCTGTATACAAGAAAACACCTCTATAACTCCTTTAATTTCGTCTTTTTATACCCTTGCAGGGTATTATAATTTCAGTCAAAAGTTTGCAACGCAGTGAAGGAGGCACCTCCGACCATATCAGGATCAACAGCCGAGTCGATCTAGCCATGTCCGTCTGTCCGTCTGTCTGTCTGTCCTTCTGTCCTTCTGTCCGTCTGTCCTTCTGTCCGTCTGTCCGTCTGTCCGTCTGTCCGTTTCTACGCAAACTAGTCTCTCAGTTTTGAAGCTGAATGAAACTTTGTAGTTAGCCTTCTATATGCTCTCACTCGTATATATGTCGGAACGGGCCGGATCGGACGATTATATCATATAGCTGCCATTAGAATGATCGGAAAATTTTTCAAAAAAAAATTATAACATTTTCAGTTTTTAACAGAATTTGATCAAATTTTAGATATAGCCAATATATTATACTTTACAATTTTGTGTCAAATTTTATGAAAATCGGACTACTATATCATATAGCTCACATAGGAACGATCGAGAATTTAATACAATTAAAAATTATAACTTATCCAGTTTTCAACAGATTTTCAAATTTGACATATATCCATTTTATATTAGTCTTAAGTTTTGTGTCAAATTTTATGAAAATCGGACGACTATATCATATAGGTACCATACAACCGATCGTTAGATGTGGAGGAGAAATGCAAATCTGTAAATGTAAAATTGCAAATATAATATGTATAGGTGAATGAAATGAAAGCAGGTATTGCTTTATTGTTTTTTAACATAAATTTATATAATTTATTTTGTATGGATTCCTTAATCATCGAAGTTCTATCTGCAAGGGTATATAAACTTTGGCGTGCCGAAGTTAGCTTCTTTTCTTGTTTTAACATATTTCCGAGTCGAGTCCAAGTCTTTTTCCACACAGCAAGGGGACTCGAAAGGGGACTTATTTAGATGATTTTTGTACAAACAATATTTCAAATGCTGGCAGGGGCTGCTTTTTATTTAATATATATATAATTTTTTTTAATAACTATGTTTGTATGAATTAGTAGTAGGAGAAGGGAATGAAAAAACCTTATTTCCTTATGTAGTCGATGTGGGTTCCTCGGTAATGGCCACCGAGGGTGTAGGAGTGACATTTCTTTGCCTGCTTGGCGCCTCTCTGAGCATCTTGAACAGGTTAATCTTGTGGCGTTCCATGCCATCATACAAGCCATAAACCTGCGAGAAACCAAAATATGCGGCCACAGCAGCCACACCAAAGAGAGGTACCATGATGATGAAACCACCGAGGCAGGCAAAGAACACCATAGAAACAATGGTGAGGAGAGTGCCTGCAAGGAGGACCAATACATTTGATTATAATTTGAAAATATTGCAAATCCTAAACCCGAAAAACAAACCTTCAAGTACCAAAAGGCCAGTGAATGTCATCAGCATGGTGGCTATACCAAAGCCAAAGATAATGAGGAAGGGCAGTAAAAAGACCAAGCCGGCGGCCAGCAGGCAGATGGCAATGTGAGGATTCTTGGCACACCAGGCGGCCATGGATTCCACAATCTCTCTGCCACCCAGCTCGGACATCACAAACTCCACCAAGCGTCGCAATTGTATCCCTGAAAAATATAATAAATATAAATATTAGGGTTTACTTTCTTTGAAAAACATAATTTCTATGGGGTCCAAGACATTCTTGGCATGTTTATACGACTTTTCGTAAGCTCAATTAATGAACAAAAAGTAATGTCAAAGTCCAAAGATTTGAATACAAGATGAATATGCAATTAAACTTGAATTCAAGTGGCGGCTCCTTTGAATTACAATTATAGAACGTGAAAACCTGCTCATCAGATGTTCAAAATTAAATTAAATTAATTACTTTCCCTAATTGAGAGACTCTAAAACTCGTTTTATGGCGTACATACACGTCTTGTATAGCATCTGAAGCAAGGACTCCAGGAACTGGTCATGGCCGGTGGCCATAGGACGCGCTGTGTCCTCCTGCTGCGACTTCTTTGTAGGTTCAGCTGTGTCCTGTTGCTGTGCCTGCCTTGGTTTAGCTGTGTCCTGTGGCTCAGATGTGGCTTCCTGTTCCCGTTGCGCCTTTCTGGGCACCGATGTGTCCCCTTGTGATCCTGCGGCCGATCGCTGGGCAGCAGCAGCATTCGCTTCCCTGGCTGCCGCTTTGCGCGCCTTGTTCGAATGGCCCTGCAATTGGAGGTGGATGAATGATCATCATGAAACCGAAATCGATAGTGATTAAGCGCCGCCGGCTCTGAGGCCATCAAACGTGATGACCTTTGGCATCATTCAGAAATTCCCCATCCTCCGGAGAGCAGCCGGCGAACTGCACCCACACACCTACCATGTTGTTGGCTCCTGCGACTAAGTCAGAACTTGGAGACGGATTGCTGGGCACATTCCAGGTGGAGTTCCGTGTAGTTATCGCAGTTCCGTGCCCGGTTGTGATCCAAAAGCAACAGCAAATCAAAATAATTATGAGAGGAACGTAAACATTGAGAGCGGGCTGCCAACTCGCTGCTGAGGAGCTCCTGCAGGGATGCCAACTCAGTCACAAGAATTTTATTCAAAATTAACCCACAAAATTGCTTACCACAAACTAAATAAGAGATTTACAATTTAAATTAAAGCCTAAAAGTGTAAAAAGCTTAAATTTATGTTTATTGTAAACACTAAGTTGTATTTTAATGAACTGAGAGCTTTGCCTCTTCTGTCAGCGTGTTTTAACTTTCATTTCCAAGTATCCTTAGATCAAAGGATTATATCCTATTTCCATATGATCTTATTTTTCCTTGAAACATCTACTTTAATGAAACAAAGTGCTAAGGAAATAATGAACACTATATATTAATAATTAATAACAATTTCCAAGTATTTTAACGAACATTTTAGTACAAAATAAAATTTGAAAGGAATGCTGCAAAACATAAAATATTAAAGTCAAGATATAAGCTATAGTTTAAGGTAAACGCTTAAAAAGCAGTAAAGGAATCATTTCCGACCCTATAAACCATATATATTCTTGATCAGCATCAACAGGCGAATCTGTCTGGGTATAAAATAGAGAAACACATTTTTTGTTAATTTTTTCAAAAATTTATAAGGGATTCCATCGTTAAAAATTAAAAAAAATTGGGAAAAAATTGAAATTTTTTAAAATTTTAAATTAAGTATGCAGATTTATTTATTTCATAAAAACTAGCATGGGAACGCTTTCCGATTTGAAATTAACGAATTTTTGGCTTAGTTATGATATTTTTAAAATTTAGTTAAACAACAAATTATCATTTAATTTATAAATAATTATTGGATCAAGAAATGGTATTATAATTTCAGTAAGAAGCTTAAAAGAAGGTGAAGGAGTCCTTTCCGACCCTATAAACCATATATATTCTTGATCAGCATCAACGGGCAAATATTTCTAGCTATCTCCGGGCAAAAAAATATTTTTTCAGAAATTTCCCATTTTCATAAAAAAAAAGAAAGGGGTTATCATTAAAATTTGGAAAAATCGGCCAGAACTTTGCATTTTAAATGGAGTATGCAGTTTTAATAATCTGCTAAAAATAAACATACTAGCGCTTTCCGAATTGAAATCAAGACATTTTTGGCTTAGTTATGGAATTTTTAAATATTGATTTGTCCAAAAAATGCCATGTAAAAATATAGGTAATATCCATTAAAAAATGGTATTGCACCTTCAGTCGGAAGCTTTAAAGAACGTGAAGGAGTCATTTCCGACCCTATAAATTATATATATTCTTGATCAACATCAACAGGCCGAACTTTCTAGCTACATCCGGCCGGAAAAAATATTTTTTCAGAAATTTCAAATTTAAAAAAAAAAAAAGGAAAGGGGTTACATCGTTAAAATTGAAAAATTGAATTTTTTTAAATTTTAAACTGAGTAAGTAACCTCATAAAAACTAACATAGGAACGTTTTCCGAATTGAAATTAATGCATTATTGACAAAGATTGATACATTTCCGATTCACTTAAACTATAGCAACTGCAAAGTTATTATATATTAATTTTCAGAAGTTTTTAAATTTTGGGCTCAACCACTTATTGTTTATATATTATACCCATTAAAAATACTAATTTATATTAAATAGTCCTTAAATACTTTAATAATTTGATTAAGCTATGAAAAAAAGTGTAATCTTTAAAGCGTAATTTCCTAAAAGTCGGTTTTCGATTTGGTTTAGTTTGGGCAACTAAATTAGTGCTTTAGGCTTTAAGCTACAATAAGCACAGAGGGGGCAGTCTGTTTAAAAAGTGATTGAGAAATCACATAAATATTGAAAACCCCATGGGGGTATGGGGTTAATGGAGCAGGAACCGGAGTCCGTTGAACGGTGGCCGCTCCGTAATCCTTTCCGCCATCAAACGCTCGCCATGCACAGTCATTCCGCAACGCAGTTTGGGCGCGTGAAGAAAATTCAAATCGGCGGCACGATCACGACAAGGAAGTGGCAGCCATCCATACACCTGTGACTCCAGGAGGGGCACACCTCTGGCCAGCTGACGCTGTCGCTCCAGCTGCTTCTCCGGCCAGGTGTTGGGCAGGTAGCTCAACGGATTTGCTGGCTGACGTTGCTCAAATTGGGCGTAGAACTTCCGAGTTAAGGGATAAACTGGAATTGAAAAAAAAGTAATTAATAGAAATGAATTAATTAACTAAAAAGGCAAAGAACTTTGCTATAGGACTGCTAAAGGACTCTGTTACCTTGACCCACTGGCACAAAGGCATCGTACAGTCTGATGTGACGATTGGACTTCTCGATAAGCTCCTTTTCAAAGTCGTAAGGCAGCGGTCGGGGATCACCCTCATGATGATCCTGTCCCTCGCCATCCTCCTCGCCCTCGCCCTCGTCGTTGACCTCGGCACCTGGCTTCATATTTCACCTATTTTCACTTTCTGTTGCAACAGCAAGTCGTATTCCTGCTGTTGCTCCTTCAATGCCTGCAGGAGCACCTTTCTATCCGTCCGCAATCGGTGGCGTGCTCAGTACGTTTGACTTGACTGCAGCCAGCAAGGACAGGACAACTGCGCCCAGGTCCTTTTGACTACTGCCTGCCGCGCCTGTCTTTTCACTTTTACCTCCATTTGGCAGCAACTTGTACTCATTAAAGTTTTGCTATTGTTGCCGGATGGCAGGCAATGTTGCCAGCACGGCATACATACGCATCCCCATGACGCACCCACCTTACCCAACGCCCAAGGAGCCACAGGCCAGGCACTGCGGGTGGTGTGACCCACAATCACAACGTCAGAGAAAACTACGAACGACGGGGTGTCGGAGCAGGAGCAGGAGCATTGTAGGGGCTTAACCCTAAAAAATGGCAAGTTTCTTGGTCCCCACCTCCAATCATATATACCTCTATATATATTGGCTCCATTTCATGTCGTTGCCGTAATTTGGTACAAGCCCAAAAAACCGAATCCTTGAAGTTAAACAGCAATTTCCGAAAATAAACCCATTTCGGAGGGGGAGGCGATTGGCATTGCGTGTCCAAACAATCGCAGCCACAAATCCGGGGAGAGCGGGGTAAGCCCAGGGGGGAGCAATACCACATCCTGCCGGTCGTAATCCGCATTTATGGCTCCCGAAGTTGTGCAACCTCCTCGATGTCGATGTCGCCAATTTCCGGCCCTAATCGAATCTAATTGAATGCATAAATACACAAATAAATCAATTTAATTACAATGCAAACTTGGCTGGCACGCACACCCACACTTTGGCAGGATAATACCCGTGTATGTATAGAATGTATGTTTCCTTAAATTAATATATGTGCGTAAATCCTGGCAATCCACAAAAAAAAAGATATACAAGAGTGTGTGCAATAAATTAATTAGCGGATATTTACACTGAGGGTACAGGACCAAGTCTAAATCCTGTTGCTTCTTTGAACTATATTTATTCTTAAATAAATGTTTGTTTATGCTTAAATGATGCTTACGAAGAGAAATGTACAACATTTTTTGAACTTAAATGGAAAATAAGACTTGGGGGAAATTCCCTTTTAGAATCAATCGGTATATCTTAATTTACTTTTAACGACATTGTCTAAACACATTGAAATTTACCTATTTTTAATTTCAACAATTAGTTAAAAAAAAAAAGTGTAAAAAAAGCATCAAAATTGTCACCCCTTCTTCCATTTGGTTGAGGTATGTACCCAATCTCTGCGAGATGTCTGAGGATTCTCGACTCGAAATCCCAGCCAAGCCAAGCCAAGCCCAGTTCTAACTAAATACATATATCTACATATATCAGTCGTGTTTAGGAGGAGTCCTGGGAGCCCGGAACTACAGCGCATCTGGATAAAAGTCCCGATAGGCAAAGGCCTCGATATATTCCGGCCGATGGCAACCGAAGAGATGATGAGGCAACTCCTTGTCTGCATACCGCTCCAGCGCCTTGCGTGTCTTCTCCAGCAAGACGGCCTCATCGAACTTCACCCGCTGCACAGTGGTTTTCCGCAGGATAGTTTGCACGAACTGCGACCAAACGGAACCGGACTCCTCGGGCTCCGTTTCGGCATCGACAGCAGCTTCCGTTAGCTGCTTCTTTTCCTTCTGGATCTTGGGCTTGGTCTCATCTTGAGTCGCTGTTGTCGTTGTCGTCACCTCCAACGCTTTGGCTTTGCTCTCAGCATACACAGTGGCCACATCCGCATCGCCTGTTGCTTGCTGTGCGTTCTCGCTGGCGGCAACTTCTTTGCTCTTGGCAGCGGCGGCCCGTGGAGTCTCCTGCATTAGCGTCTGCAGGCGGTCCACCGTCTCGGCCATACGTTTCCGGAAATCGATAATGCGCCGAGCGTAGCGAAAGAGTTCACGCTCCTCGGCCGGCTTCATGGGTCTCATGCGATCCTCCTGACGCAATTCATCGGGTTCCAACAGCGCTCGGTAGCGTCCCGCCGCATCCGTGGTGCCCGAGAGGTAGACGCGTTGAGCAAACTCCTGCATGGCAGTGGTATTGACTATGGCAAGTGCATAACCATTACGTGCCTGCAGTATTATTTCGCGGATATCGTTTAAATGCATCGAGGAGGAGGCACTGGAGGTCGCATTCGTTTGCAGCTCTTGCACATTCTGTTCCTCCAATTGAAAGGATGACGACGGCCTATCCAGGCTCTCCAGCACATTCGCCAAGTGGCTGTGCAGTCTTTCCCCGTCTGCCTGGAAACTGAGCAAGCCCAGGCCCTGGATCAATCGAATGTTGGCCACATACTGCTGTTCCAGTTCGTACAGCTGCCAGAGGGATCGCATCCGTGACTCGTATTCCTTCTGGGCGCCCGGACCCAGGACACTGCTGATGTTCGTGTCATACAGTTGCAGGCCCCGTATAAAGGCTACGTCCATGGTAAAGTTACCCATGAAGTTGAGCACATAATTATGGGCTTCGGCGGCACTTCCAAAGTTCTCTCTTCGCTGAGCAAAAAAGTCATCCAAGTCACTCACCGTCAGCTGATTGCGCGGCACCTCGGTCCGCTGCAAGCTCTGGTTGAGCTCCCGCTCCTCGCGTATACGCTCAAAGTTGCTCACCAGCACATCGCCGGCGGGCTGTTGGAACTCATCGAACACTTCAATGTCCACGGCCATGGTTGTGGTTGCTGACTCTTGAGTATCCTTGCTGCTGCTACTCTCTTGGCCTGTTTTGGCTTTCTCGATCTCCCTCTCCTGCTCGTAGTAATGCTCATAGTTCTCTACATGACACTGCGGTGTCCACTGATCGTGCATTGCCACCTGTCGCTCCCTGCTCCTCTCAAAAATGGAACGAGCACTAAAACGCTGCAGATCCAAGCCAGCATATATGTCCTCTTTGTGAGCGTGGCAGCAATGCAATGCCGACATGTCCATAGGATGGGCCTCCGTATTGAAGATATAGGCGCCGGCCTGCACCACACAGACATCATCTTCTGTGGAGAGTAGCTCGCCGCCTGAGCCGTCGTCATGCAGGAAGTTGTCCTCGTCGAAGAGCAGATACAGGTACTTGCTCGTCTCCGCCAAGAAAAACGACTCCATGCGGTTCTCCTTCTCGTGGGTGACAACGTTGCGAATCTAAAAGCAAAAGGAATATTTCGAAATTATTATTAATCCAAGGAGCTTTGAGTTATCTGACATATAAATTGTATATCGTATTGACACCCTACCGTGGCATATCCGCATTTGGTCTTGGCACTAAACTCAATGGTCTCCAGCATGTGTTCGCCCAGCTCCAGCAAGTATTCATTGCGCGTCGCCCGATACAGATACATTGCCGACTCGATAAGCTCCGGCCGCAGTGGATACACCTCTCGATTGGGCGACGCCTCACCCGCAGCTATATTGTAAAACTCCGGCAGGAAGCCGTACTTTTTCCATACACCAATGTACCGTGAAATGGTGCGCAGCGCTGGCTCTGTGTCGCCTACAATGCTGAGTATACCGGGCCAAAAGGCCTCGAGCGACTGAAAGACGGGCAGGGTGACGTGGCCCTTGTTCATGCCGACCCACACGTACCAGTCCTCCTTGCGCATATACTTGTCAATGGACGCGCGGGCCTCGTGGAAGAGTTCCAGCAGCTCGGGCCGGTTGAGCAGCATGGATGCCTTTACAAGGTATTCGAAGAGGGAATCTACACCGGCGCCGATGCCCGAATCTAAAGCCGTCCAGCGTCCGCTCTGCACATCGATGTGATTGCCAAAAAGACCGATGGACGAACGGTGAGACCAGAGAGCGTGAACCGCCCGCATGGCCACCTCCTCGTAAATGCTATTGCCGGTCAGCCGACTTAGCGTGCCGAACTCGATGAGGAAAGTGCCAACTCCAGCCGTGCACGTGATTGAAGTCTCGCCCTTGGGCACGCCGTAGCGCAGGTTCACCGTTCCATACGGCATGCCCGTATTCGTATCAAAGGCGGGCAACAGCCGCTTGGCCACGTCCTCCGCCAAACGGAGCAGAGGGCCCTGACAGGGCCAGCCCTGCTCCAAAACAATGCCGGCACGCTTGGACAACAAGTGGGCGGAAAGCAGGCCGCCAACGATGCGAATGTTCGTCTCGAACACGGACACGTTGATGTCCCGATCGAAGTTCATTTTCTGCTCCAGCAAGTGAGTAACGCGCCGGAATTCCGTGAAGTTGCCCATGACGGCCAGCGTGTCCAGGGCGTCAATCAGTGTCAGCGAGTAGCTGCCCCATGTATCGTGGCCGTCGCATGTTAGCGGACGCAACTCGTCGTAGTTGGAGGCGTGTCGCAAGTAGCCTTCGTAGGCGTGCTGGAACATGCGGCGTACGTCCTCCCTGGTGGGATTGTAAACAGAGATTAACACTGGCATTCGGTACAACTCCTCCAACGGCCAGTTACCCACCTCAGCTCCAGCTTCCGCGCCTTTGTGAATTGCTTTTGAGCACTGACATCAGGCGCCAGCAGCAGTAGCAACAGGAGGAAGACCGTGCAGAGCAGCAGCTTGTAGGCGTAGATCCAATGCTGCATCGTTGCTTGGGTCGGAGGAGTCAATCAGTGGCGCTAATTCAATTATGGGCATGGTCAGTGCGCCATAGCCAGCGTGGATGTGGGAGAAGTCAAAGCGGCTACGTTGTCGCAAAAACCAAAACACGGCGAATCGCGGGCAGTCACAGCGATCACTGAATACCCTATACCAGGCATATATAATGAAGTTACTAAAACTTGAATATAATAAATGGGGATTCAATTGTGTGAAAAGTTTAATTATTTTATTTAAAATATTTATATGTCAGTTCAATACCTTTTAGTTAAGCAAATTAGTTTATTAGAAGTTGCAAATTAATTTAATCTTCATAAATAACACACTCTGGCAATAGTCACCTATGCCCAGCTGTAGAGTGCAAACAGCTGTTTCGTTCAAAGAACTATCGAAACTATCGTCAGGGTCGTCGATTCGCGTGTAGATACTGGTTAGCTGTTGCAAACGGCTCTGTTCGACATAAACACCTCTAAATAGCCGATAAAGTATTTAAAACAGACTTCTTAATTCGAAACGAATATGGCTAAGCACTTTAAGTACAATTTTCTGGCTAAAAATTAAATCGATTGTTTGTGGCTCTATCGCGCGGCACGCGCGCGTTTTCCTTGACACGAGTTGGCAGCACCAAAGCAATGTTTCTCTGCTGGCCATTCAAAAGTGTGTGTTCTTACGGCATTGTATTGTGTTTGGAATTCAAAATAAACAAGGAACAGGCAACCCAACAATTGCAGAAACTGCACCCAGCGGTGAGTGAGTCCACAAAGAATAGATTTTATTAAAGCTTCTATGGCGAATGCGCCGGCCAATAACAAGGCAAGCCTTTGTTTCGCCTGCAAACAACCGAATCACCTTCCCGTCAATGGGCAAAAGTTGAGTCTTTGGTGGCTATTCTCCGGTTAAAGCCACCAACAAATGCTTCCCAATTATCTGTCCTGACGGTGTCTATATCGTGGGGACGGTCTTATAGAGCCCAGCTCAAGGCATTTCACAATATGCCATCGGGTGCGGGAGTAATGTCCGTTGGCTGAAAAGTAACAACATTGTGAAAGCAGACATGTGGGCTCGCCTTTGGAGCCCCCGTGAACGCGCAAAAACCTTCCCAATTAAGTTTATTACTAAGCCCGTTACGTTCGCTGGCCGCATTTTATGCCAGCATAGTGATATCTGTGAAAATATAAACAATTGGAGGAAAATATTAAATTTTTAGCCCAGAGTTGTCGCCGTTCGCGATTCCCACTTTCATTCTTCCAATCGCACGGCGCCGCGACAACCCTGCGCACACGCAAAACCTATCGAAAATTTTTTTATGGGCCCACGGTCGATAAAACACTTTCGTGTGCGCCTCAGTCGTGTACGAAAAAAAAAAGAAAAATAGAAAAAGAAAAGTTTACTAAAACGAAAACGAAGCAACGTATAGCGGAATATAGCGAAAAACAACGGGCCCGCAGCCGAGTGCAGTACACGAGTAACCGTAATTTAGCAAGTTAAGTGCAAGGAGCAGCAGCAACGCAACAACAGCAACAGTTCTACGGCGCTACGGGAAAAAAATGGAAATATGCATAATACGAAAAAGTGGCCAATAACAAAAACAAAAACAACAGCCAGCGACAATAGTCAGCACCAGCAGCAGCAGCAGCAGTAACAACAACAACAATAGCACCACCAACAACGTGTGTGTTGTAATTGTGGAACCGAGCAGAGGCGGCGGCAGAAAAGTGTGTGTGTGTGCTCCGACGGGGGGTGGTTGCTTCGGTCGTCTGCTCACCCATAAATTAGAATCGCGCGACGACATTGAGGTCCGCCCTGGAATGCAGCATGTCCGCGGATCAGGATCAATAATCATCGAAGTCGATACAGCCATCGAAAGCAGCAGCAGCAGTGGGTAATAAAGTTCGAACCGAAAAAAGAGGAATCACGCGCGCCACCCCAATACGGAAAACGGCTGAAAAATGTTAGCTAAATGCCAAGTTATCTACAATTATTATTTATTTGTCCCTGTGTGCGTGCCAGTCGAATGTGGCTGTGTGTGTGTGTGCGATAGCAAAAATAATAAAAATCCGCTCAAATTGCGATGCCAAATTGTCGCCGCGTCTCCGACTTGTGCCCAATTAATTGATCGTCTTTCAATTGTCGAGACATCCCATATTCAGATAGTCAGCATTTCCATATGCCACACACTCCGTATCCGATGTCCGTTCCGCTCCTGGAGCATTCCATCTCCCAAGGTTGTCTATTGTATAACTTGAATCGGAGAATCCGAGTCCGGGCCTCGTTCCTTGTTTATCTTTGGACAATCCAAAGTGGCCTACAGTGGAGGCTGTCACAGGTTGGACTCGAAATCTCACTTTGATTCGATAAGCTCACCCGCTCGTTCGCTTGGACAAGTGTTGTCACCTGGCATTACCGAAAAGAGAGAGAGAGAAACCCTTATCTTTGACGCCTTACGGCATAACATATTCGAATAAATTAGGCTTTTATTTGGCAACTAGTTAAAATAACCAACCCTTAGTGAGTTTACCATAACTTTATTAAAAGGATAAGCCTCAAGAAAGGCAAAGTTATACTCTGTTTGGCGCTAAGGAATGGCATTTCCCGAAATGTTTATGCTATGTAATAGCCTTCATAAATCTTGATTACTCAAGTTTCCCGAGAGTCTTAACACATAAAATTTACTCTATTTCGGGATGTAATGTAATTTCCTTTAATTATAAACCTTCGTTGCCTCTTATTACCCTTGAAATTATCAAACTCTCACTACTGTTATTCCATTCTCTCAGATTCCATAAAAGTTGCACAATTCTTTTATTGATTTTTCATGCTTTAAAGATGATATATGATACGGAGGCATAAATAACTTACATACCGCAAGGTGTCTCAGTTAAGGCTTTCTATATATACAGTTCTCATGTGTCTAAGCGCACTGGGTAGAATTGTTTAGAAACTATTTCCTATTGGAAATTGATCAGCTTTAGATTGATTACCACCTAGAATCACAAATATTCTGGGCATAAACAGCCTTGGATAGTTGAGGAGTGAGTCACTGATTAGCAGCTTTCACTGTACCGCGCACGCACTTGAACGCACACAGGCGACAAATGCCACCATACACTACCATTATCCGGTGTATGTGGCTGTGGACGTGAGCAAATGTTTACTCAAGAACCATTTTTACAGAGACCGCAGTAGCAGCAGCAGCAGCCGCATTTCGTGGGAAGAGAGGAGACCAAGGAGGAGGAGCAGGTGAAGCAGCAGTTGGAGCACGACGGTGCTCTGAGAAGGTAAAACTCGCCTAATCAAGTCAGCGCCATGGTGAGTAACAATCTGGTGGTGCCCGTGGTCCTCTGGGGGCCCACAGCGCCCACGCATTGCATCTCGAGCGTGTTCCTTTCGGATGATCAGCTGACGCTGGTTACCGGCTGCTACGATGGACAGATCTGCCTGTGGCAGGTGGAGCCCAGCACATTGAAGATGTCGCCGCGCTGCCTGCTGGTGGGCCACTCTGCCCCGGTGCTGTGCCTAGTGCGTGCCTCGCTCCTGCCGGAGAACAACTTTCTGGTCAGCTCGTCGGAGAACGGTGAGATGTGCACCTGGGACCTCACGGACGGCAAGTGCATGGAGGCCGTCAAGCTGCCACAGGTTCACACCCAAATCCAGAGCTATCACACGGCCAACAGCGAGGATGTGCGTCTATTCTGCATTGGCTACTATGCCGAAATCATGGTCATGGATCCCTTCAGCCTCGAGGTCATCTATGTGCTCAGCTCTAAAGTGAAGCCGGACTGGATCTCAGCCATTCATGTGCTGCGTCCGATGCGACGCAAGGACGATGTGGTGCTGGCCATCACCACCACCGGCACCGTCAAGGTGTGGACCCTCACGGGCAACGAGAACAAGCACGCAGAGCCCATCTACGAGAACGAGTCGAAGGAGATCCGATGCCTCAATGCCATTACCATGAACTGCTGCGCCCAGAACCAGCGAACGGTGCTCCTTGTGTGTACCAAATACTGGCAAATCTACGATGCCGGCGACTTCACCGTCCTGTGCTCCGTCATTGCGCCTGCCCGAGAGCGGTGGCAGGGCGGCGACTTCATCACCTCGGATCGCGTCATGCTGTGGACGGACGAGGGCAAGGGCTATCTGTATAAGCTGCCCGCCAACTGCATTCCGGACAACAAGGAGTTCCACTCGAAGAGCGTCGTCCGCGACGCCCCATACCTGTACTACGTCCTGCAGCATGCTGGCGATAAGGTGCTCTCGTGTCCGCCGGCCATGAAGCTGCTGCAGGGCACCGGCGGGCAGCACAATCTACTCCGCGGTGACTCCGAGGGTTACATCTCCGTGTGGAACGTGCCGGAGGTGCCGCTGGATAACATTAGCATACTGCAGGCCAAGCAGATGCCGCCGCGCGTACTCAAGCCGCATGTGTGCACCTCGCTAGTGGAGGCGTGGTCAATAATGGATCCGCCACCGGTTGGCATACTGGACCAGCTGTCGCGCATCACTGAGTCGCCGGTGAAGCTCACCTCAAGCATCTATTTGCCGCAGCAGAGCCGCCTGGTGATTGGACGTGAGGACGGCAGCATTGTAATTGTTCCGGCCACCCAGACGGTGATGATGCAGCTGCTGGTGGGAATCAAGCAGAACTTTAGCGACTGGCCTTCGCATCAGATCCTTTACGGTCACCGCGGCAGAGTTAATTGCCTGCTCTGTCCATCGATGATTCATTCGCGGTACGAGAAATCCCACCTGCTATCCGGTGGCATCGATTTCGCCGTCTGCCTGTGGGATCTGTACAGCGGCAGCTTGCTGCATCGATTCTGTGTCCATGCCGGCGAGATTACGCAGCTCCTTGTGCCTCCGGAGAGCTGCAGCCCAAGGATATTGAAGTGCATTTGCTCGGTGGCCTCGGATCACTCAGTCACGCTGGTCTCTCTGCAGGAGCGCAAATGCGTGACGCTGGCCAGTCGCCATCTGTTCCCCGTGGTCACCATCAAGTGGCGGCCGCTGGATGACTTCCTCATCGTCGGCTGCTCCGACGGCAGCGTTTACGTATGGCAAATGGAGACGGGACACTTGGACCGCGTTCTTCACGGCATGCTGGCCGAGGAAGTGCTCTCCGCTTGCGATGAACAGGCAGAGGATGGCGGCTCCGGTGGTGGCAGCGGTTCAAATGGTGCCTCTAGTGCCAGCGAAATGGGCATGGCCAATCCAGCGGTTCACTTCTTCCGCGGCCTCAAGTCGCGCAACATGAACGCCATCCGACATGCCACACAGCGTGGCATCACGCAGCTCCAACAACTGCAGGGACACAACCAGGGCAACTTTGACTTCCTGATGAAGCACCGAAGCAATCCGCTGGTCATCCAAGGACTTCGCACCAATCCCAAGGATGCCGAGAGCCACATTCTGTTCTTCGACATCGAGGGATTGATCTTTGAGCTGCACAGCGAGGAATACGCCCAGATGACGCCGGCCACGCTGGAGGCGCTGGGCGTTCATCTGCAGAACCCCAAGGATGGCAAGTCGATGCATCTGGATGCGAGCAAGAAGATAGGGGACTTCTTTAGCAAGGTGAAGAACAAGGCGGTGGATGTGGAGAAGATACTGAAGGACAAGGACAAGCATGGCCTCGTCCAGAAGTTCAAGGAGAAGACGGAAATCGTGGAGAAGAAGGTACAGGCAAAGGTGGAGAGCCTGCAGAAGGCCGTGGAGCCGCATGAGGAGCAGCAGGACCTGAAGAGCAAGATTGCCTCCAAAATGGAGGTCACGCATGTGATGGAGGTGGCCCAGCTGCTGCTCTCACTGCTCCATTCGTGGGGCCTCGATCCGCATCTGGACAAGATGTGCGAGACGCGGCTGGGCCTGCTGCGCCCCATCGTGCCCATCTCGTACGGTGTGCTCTCCAAGGCCGGCTACATGTCCCTGCTGCTGCCGACGTGGCAGAATAACTATGCCATCCCGCCGGGCATCCAGCTGCCCTCCAGCTCGAAGAAGCGTCCGTTGCCCGAGGAGCTGCAGCGTCTGGAGCACCTGACAGCCGTATTTACGTCACGCTTGCATTGGGAGCTAAGCACCACGCTGACAACCAATCACATCCTCGCCCTGGTGGCCATGTCCAACACGCTGCTCTCGATGAGCGCCGCCTCCTTCCTGCCGGACAGCGAGAAGCACAAGAAGCTGCAGCGTCTGGCACAGCGCACGGACTCCACGCTGAGCAACGAGGAGGAGCGCGAGGAGCTGATGGCCCACCACATCTCGCAGATTAAGCATGCCTGGAGCCTGCTGGCCACCCACCACTGTTTCCTGCTGCCGGACAAGATCGAGGCTCTGGAGCCGAAGAAATTCAAGCGGCCGCAGGTGGAGATGATGGTCAAGCGCTGGCAACACCATTGCATCGAGATCCGGGAGGCGGCTCAGCAAATACTACTCGGCGAGCTGACCCGCATGGGCAAGAAGGGACGCAAGCAGCTGGTGGAGAGCTGGGCCCAATATCTGCCGCTCTACACGCACACGGAACCGATTGTCGGGGCCCAGCAGCAGTTGGCCCTGCTTAGTCAGCCGGCAGGCGGAGGCGGAGCTGGTTCCGGTTCGGGTGCCAATGGCAGTGGTGCGGGCTCCGGGTCAGGTGGCGGCGGAGTAGGCGGAAATGTTGGCGGCGTCGGCATGGGACCAGGCGGTGGAGTCCCTGGCGGTGATGCCCACCAAGACGAGGATTACGAGGAGGAGGAGGAGGAGATAATACGGAAACCATCCAGCTTGTCGGAGTTAAAACGCAAGCAGACCACGGCAGTTATACTTCTGGGTGTCATCGGTGCCGAATTCGGCCAGGATATCTCACAGGAGTCACCCAATCATCGCGGCAGCATAAGCCTGGCCACGGGAGCCACTCTGACCAGCGGTGGTGGCGGCGGCGAGCGACGGAAATCGAGCGTGGTCGAGGGCTTTGGCATTGCGAACAACCTGGCACGCCTCACCTCAATGGCCTTGGCCCATCTGTTGTATGCACCGCCCTCGCCCAAGCTGCCACAGTATACGCCACTGCGCCGGGCGGCCATCGATCTGCTGGGCAGAGGCTTCACCGTATGGGAACCATACCTAGATGTGTCCAAGGTGCTGCTCGGTCTGCTGGAGATCTCGTGCGAGGGCAAGGCGGTGCCGAATCTTAATTACAAACTCCCACTGACTCCTCAAGCGGATGCCTGCCGAACAGCCAGGCACGCACTGCGTCTGATAGCCACCGCTCGGCCGGCGGCCTTCATTACCACCATGGCGCGTGAGGTGGCCAGATACAATACGATGCAGCAGAATGCGCAATCCATTAACACACCGCTGACCCAGTCCGTCCTGCACAAGGCCAAGGGCGAGATACTGCAATGCGTTGAGATGCTGATCGACAAGATGCAATCGGAAATTGCCGGCCTTCTTGTGGAGGTGATGGACATAGCTCTGCATTGCGTCGATAGCAACGAGCTGAAGAGCCGCGGATTGGCGGAGCTGTGTCCCTCGATCTGCAAGTTCAACCAGATCTCGCATTGCGCCCAGACGAGACGCATCGCTGTGGGGGCCAACAGTGGCAATTTGGCCATTTACGAGCTGCGGCAGAACAAATGCCAGATGATACCGGCGCATACGCATCCCATCACCTCGCTGGCTTTCTCGCCGGATGGCAAGTACCTCGTCTCGTATTCCTGCGCCGAAAATCGACTCTCCTTCTGGCAGACCTCGACGGGCATGTTCGGATTGGGTCAGTCGCAGACACGATGCACCAAGGGCTATTCGACGGCCCCGATACCGGATGTGTCGCGTCTGAATCCAATGCGTCTGGCCAAACTGGTGTGGATCAACAACCGCACCGTGACCCTGATGCTGGCCGATGGTTCCGAGACGCGATTCAATGTCTAAGCAGGAACAAGGTTACGATGATCCGATGGGGATGTATTAGGCAAGGTTATTAGGCAATCAGCGCGGGCTTCAAAAGCAGCGAATATGGAAGAACGCAGGATGTAAGGAGGTAGTATGTGGAGCAGAAACGACAAAACAATAATTATTCAAAGATAAAAAACCTGGAAACGTCTGGCGTTTCCCTAAATAATAATACATAATAAAGTCAATAAAAACTAAGAAAAGCTAAGCGAAAAGTAACAGTCAAAGGGACGAAACTGAAACTAAAAACTTAAATAACGGGGGGAAAACCCCCCAAAAAACACTAAGCAGCATTAAGTTAAAGAGAAGAAGGAAAGTTGAGGGCAAACGGAAAATTCAATACAACACATTTTGTTATTTATTTATATATATATATACTTACCCTATATATCTGTATCTGTATCTGTATTTTAATGTATTACACGATTTTAATATGCCCCCGTCTCTATATAATACCCCTGTTCTTCCCCCCACAAATGCTACGTCCATTTTATTTTTTAGTGAATAACTTTTACCCAAAACAAACAACACACACAACACTCTCTTTGAACACGTCGTGTTTCTGCTTTTGTTGTTCAGTTCCCAACGCGGAAGGAAAACAGAAAACTAAATCCAAATATTAACAAAGTAAACAACAATTAACCAGATGCAAAACACACACCACACCACACACACAACGCAAAGGAATGAAATGGAAAAACGATTAAAATTATAACAAAAAAAGAAAAGAAAGAAAAAAAAAACAAAGATTGAAAAGCTGTTATTATTATTACACAACTATTATTATTATTACTATTGTATGCTACTATTACTATTATTATTGATATTTGTTATGCCTAATGTATTGTTATATATATATATCGAAAGAGGAAAACCTAAACAAATGTATTGAGCAAAGTTGCAAAAACGAAAACAAAAACGAAAGAAAAAAAAACAAAAACACTAAATAAAGTTAATTATATAGAGCGAAGAAGTCAGGTGTTTTTATTTTTTTTTATATATATATATATACATATATTTTTTTTGTGAACCTTACTTTTATTGTAATTCCTATATTGATAACTTCTTCGTCTTCTTTCGATGTCATACTTCTGCTTAAGCGTGTGTAAAAAGTCTTTGTTGTTCTGTGAAAATAATACATACATGCATACTTATATACGAGATCCTTCAATCAAAGTATTACAAAAAAAAAGAGAAAATTAAACAAAAAGATACGAAACGAAGCAACTACAAAAATTATGTACGGAGAGTATACAAAAAAAAAATGAAATAAACTCAACCAAACATGAGAACTTTCTTGCATTTTTACTTTACCTTTTAAGTTTAAGGATGTGCAGACTGTACTTATTGTACAAAACAAAAGAATGTCCACACTGAGTATTTAGTGTGACCAACCTTTTGTTTAAAGGACAAGTACAGTCTACCTTAAATTTAATGTAATTTTTACATTTGTAAAGTTACCTCAAAAGGTATCTTAGATAGTTATAGTGTTAAGTTTCCTTTTAAAATAATCCCCTGCCAACGATTCCCTTTCTCCCACTTGCTTACTGATCCCTCCTATCCTATCTGTTCCCTGAATTACAGTCGTTTTGTTGCTCGCCCAGTGAGAATGCCCGCCGTCGAAGGCCAAAGAGGCCGGGGAAGGAAGGCAACGGCCGCCGCCAGGAGGCAAACCGTTCTATATGACGAGGACGAGGAGCGACCCATCAAGCAACAGCCCATGGACGTGGAGGAGGATGATGACAACGATCGTGAGGAGCCCGACGCAGAACCCGACGAGGGTGAGGATGAAGAGGAGGAACACTTGGACGAGGTCGAAGAGGGGGAGGAAAACGACGACGACGAGCAGGAGAGCAGCAATGAGACAAGCGAACCGGAGGAGCAAGTAGAGCCGCCGGCCTTCAGCCTGGCCACGCTCGGGCTGCAGCGCGTGGGCAGCGCCCCGCCGCCCAAACCCAAGGTGCAAAAGGCACCGATCCTGACCCTCAATGCTCGCGGCATGCCGGCCCGCATCCGCAAGAAGAATCGTTTGTTCTACGATGAGAACATCATCAACGACGACAAGCCGCTGCGCATGAGCCTGGCGCCAAAGAAAATGCCCGGCCGGCCGCCGCTCTCCGCCGGCGGAGGCTCTGCCCAGAAGACACCGCTCACACCCTCCAAGGTGTTGAAGAAGCGCAAGGGTGTTGTCTCCCGCTACATGCGCTCCAGTGACGGCTCCAGCTCCAACTCGGCTAGCAGTCAGCAGACGCAGCAGACTCATTTGGGCAAGCTTAAGAAGACGCCATTGAAGGGTTCGCCGGGAGGCAAACTGCAAACGTCCGGCAAGGCGGGTTCAAAGGTGACCGGCAAACGCTTGGCCGCTGGGGCTGCGGCGGCCTCCGAGATGGAGGCCAACGAGGCGGAAATCCATGCGGCGGTGGCCCACAAGCGACTAGGACAGTCCATCGGTCTGCGGCTTCGGAATGTCCTCAAGCTGCCCAAGGCTCACAAATGGGCCATCGCCGAGTGGTTCTACTCGTATGTGGACAAGCCGCTCTTCGAGAGCCGTGACGAAGTCCTGACCCATGTGAACGAGCTGGCGCCGCGCTTGGGTCCCCGCATGCTTAATCGTCATGAATGGATCAACATTAGGCGGCGGATGGGCAGGCCGCGGCGCTGCTCGGCCAAGTTCTTTAGCGAGGAGCGCAAGGAGCTGGATCGCAAGCGTCAGCTCATCAGGACGCTGCAGTCGCGAAAGCCTGGCGAGTTGAAGGACTCAATGCTGCTGTCGGATATGCCCGAGAAAATACCGATGCCCTTGCCACTGGGCACCAAAGTGACGGCCAGGCTGCGTTCGCCCCAGGATGGAATCTTTGCCGGCACCGTGGCCGCCTATGACTCCCTGAACGCCATGTATCGGGTGACCTTCGAGCGCCCTGGTTTGGGCACGCATGCCATACCGGACTACGAGATCGTTTCGGAGAACTTCCACGAAATGCTGCCGCTGCACAGTTTGACCAAGGACTTCCGGCCCAATCTGATGTGCATCTATCAGACGAATAACCTCGGCTTTACCACCAACCTGGGCTTCACGGCCAACCTCTCCAGCAATTATCTGCAAAAGAAGGGTGAGAAGGGGACAGGAACTGGAGCTGGAGCTGGCGCTGGTTCGGCTTCGGCTTCGGGAACTCCGCAGAAGAATCTGGCCAATAACAATGCAGACGCACGAAAGGCACTGAGCATGAAGCTCAACAAAAGCGATCCCCTCCTGGGTCAAGATTTGGTGGCCGAGAGTCCCATCCGTCAGCAGCTGGCCCGTTATCATCATAATCATCATCAGCATCGTCACAACTACCCGAGGACGCTGCTCGAGCATCTGGTGCACCTGCAGAAGCACATCGCGGTGAAGGCCGATCGCATCCAGCGTCTGAACAAGATGAACAGCACCGCGGAGCTGGCCCTGGCCGAAATGATTAACCAGGATGAGAACGGGGAATGCCATCGCCGCCAGATTGCCGATAACTTTCAACGGCAATATGCCTACAACATTGTGTCCATCGAGAAGAACAACGTCGATCTCATGTACGAACTGACCAAGGTGCAGGAGCTCTCTTCCAGCCTCACACGCAATCCCAATGTCCAGGCCATGATCTCGCCGACGTACATGCGCGAGGAGTGCCGGGCCAAGGCCTCCCTGACGGTGGACGAAGTGAATAAGGGACTGGTGAAAAATCCGCACATGATTCGCCTGCTGAAGAACCTCACCACCCTGCTGTTCCTTACCCAGAACGTGAACGGCGACAACAAGGTCTTCGAGGGCTGCCTCGAGGAGGTACGCACCAATCTCTATTGCAGCGACAATAGCGAGGTCTTCAAGAAGAGCGTGCAGGCGCGTCTGGAGTACATTACAATGGACATTGCCAAGAGTATGGATGATAATGAAGAGACCGGCAGAAGCAGCGGCACCGAGGACGTCAAGGAAGAGGAGGACGAGTCCAAAGACAGCTCGAAGGCGAAAACGAAAGAGAAGCAGCAGCAGCCGGAGGAGGGGGACGAGGAACCTGGCAAGGTGGCACAAAAAAGTCAAGAGCCAGCGGCGGAAGAGGAGGAGAATAACGGAGAGGAGAAGTTGGATTCAGACGGATCGGACAAGCATTCAAATCACAATCAGAAGGAGGAGAAGCAGCAAGAGCAAAAGTCGATGCAGGAAGCGGAAGAGGATACAGAGCCCGAAATGGAGGAGCATCATCTGGAGCCAGAGCTTGAGCCAGAGCATGAGCCCGGACCCGAGCCCGAGCCAGAGGAGCGGTCACCCAATGCTGCCGCCACCGATGACACCCAGATCACCATCGAGTCCATGAAGGAGTCCGAGGAGGAGTTCCTCTCGACTGGCGAAACGGAGGACGAGGAAATGCCAGACGAAGAACTGCAGCAGCTGAAAATGTCGGACGAGCTCTCCGGGGATGAATATTGTCTACGTCAAGTAGAGATGTAGAAGTGCTCTTTCCCTTGGCCACCTTATTTTTTTTTTGTTCTCTCCCTAGGTTAAGATTGTAAGTTGGATTATTTCAATTCGTTGCAATAGAAGGTGCAACAACCGCAAGTCCCTGCATCATTGCAAATAGAAAGTGGACGCGGAGACCATCCCTGGACCCTGGCCAGGTGACCCATTATTGTAAATCTGCAAAGAATTTATTAAAACAATTATTGATTGCGTTGAAAGCTGTAGAGAAAAGCCTCGGCAATAAAGAGTTTACAATAAAGTGTCGTCTTTCAAGAATTTGGGTCACTCTTTCAAGGACCACACTCTCGTTTTCCGCAGCTAAAACTAAAATTTTCTAGTTTTTGCTTTTATTTAATTATCTTTCGGTGAAATCATTGAATGATCTCCGGAATTTACAAACTTATAAAGATTGTAAAAGAAGAAAGTCCTTTAAAATCGCTAGCCAAGTCTATGTTTAATCCTCATCTTCCTCGTCGTCATCATCATCATCCTCTTCCTCGCTGGACTGATCCAGCCATTGGACAAGCTTGGCTAGACTCTGACGCAGCTGGGCGTGCTCCTGGTCATCCAATTGCTCGTACCACGCTTGGATGGCATCCTCGGACACAAAGTCCTTGTCGTACAGGTAGTGGACAATCTGCGAGATCTTTTCCCTGACCAGCGGATTCTCCTCGTACACGTCCTGCATGAAAAAGAGGAACAACAAACGTTACCAGAGGCAGAATAGAAAGAGATGGAGAGATACAGTACCTCCAGCGCCTTGAGGCAATCCAGCATGGCATCCTCGCTCTTGATATAATTAGAGACAACGGGTCCGAGTTGCTTGAAGGCAGCATTTATGGCCACCAGGACATTGTTGTTCGCAGGCTCCACAATGTGCTGCATGCCAAAGACGGCCTTCACCACGTTAAAGTTGACCTCCTTCAGAGACATATTGTAAGCATAACGCGACGAGTTAATCTCCAGGATAAGAAAATCTGGATTGGATTTTTCCCGGTAGCCGCGAGTCAGCGAATCGATCACCTCGCCAAGGAAAACTGCAAAAGATAATCATGGAAGTTAAATGTAACCCACAAAGAGAGAGATAGAGAAACTTCACTCACTGTTGGTGTCATCAGGCAGCGGCGTCACCGCCCGCGAGGCATCTTCATCATCCTCGCTGTTGTCGCTGAAGTAGCTTATCTCTTCCAGTGGTGCCAGCAGGTCACCCATTTTGGGTATGCTAAGCGGCTGCTGGGGCAGGAAGTCGTCGCCATCAGAGTCCTCGGGATCGCCGGTTGTCAGATCGCTGATGATAAAGGCGTGCGGTCCAAGGGACTCCAGTTGCACTGCAAAAGAAGAGATTATTTAAAACTTGAAGCAGAATGAGGATTCAGGGACTCCCACCTGTTGCCTCCTGCTGCTCCTGGTCATCGGTTTGCTGTGTACTGGGCGTGCTGGTGATCAGGGTATTGGCCAGCTTTGTCTTTGCTGGCAGCACACTCTTTGCACCGAGCACACAGCCAGCGCTCACATCGCAATCCTCGTTGACAATGGCTCCCGCACCAAGGACGCAGTGCTCCAGCCGACAATTGTCCTTGACGGTGACATTGGCCATCAAGAAGACGTTAGTCAGCCGACAGTTCTTGCCAATGCGGCAGTTGACTCCGATGACGCTGTCGCTGATCACCGTGCCGCTGTCCACGTGGCTGCCCGCCTGGATTACCACATTCTCGTGCAGCGCCACCTTGGACACATGCGCCTCGTGGCTCTTGTAGATGTTGTCCTTGTGGAAGACATACTGCTGCTGCAGCTTATAGACGCCCATGTCGGGGACCAGGGGATAGGCCCACCGATTGATGATGTCCCGGCTAACTAGCTGATACGCCGGCCAGCTGTTCACCTTGTGCGCATACTGGGCGGCCGGCAGGAGTGCCACATAGATCCTGCTGTCCAGAAGCTCCTCGTTGATCAGCAGACCGCGCACGAAGTCGTCGCGGGTCTGGAAGTCAAAGTTATCACTAAACAGCGACAGCATGGACGGCGACCCAATGGCTATCTGCGGATCGAGCAGATTGTGATGCAGTGCCACACAGGAGTTGCCCAGGAAGATGTCCAGCGGAATCTGGTAGCGTGACTCCTTCTGATGGACCTTCAGCCGCTGATGGTAGTGCAGCCGATCGTTGCGCCGGTCGACCGCAATAAGCAGCTCATTGCCCGTGCGCACATTGTTCGAGCATTCCTTGAACACCAGCGTGGCGGCCGTGCCCTTATCGAACTTGGCCTGACGCTTGTGCTGCTCCAGCACGGGCCGCAGATCAGCATTCGTCACCGTGTCCGCACCCAGCAGTATGAAATTGCCTCGTATCAGAGCCTTGGCGTCCAGATCTCTCATGGCATCGCCAAAGCACCGACATCCCTCGCCGCCAATCACATGGACCGTCATCTTGAAGGACCACGAAGCGTACGTGGCAATGCCCGCCCTGGAAAACGACACAAATCATAAATAACAACACAATTGCATCATCTTATTCGACGCTCACTAACTTGATGTGATCCCGGACGTCCTGCAGGTAGAGGCTGGCGTACACGAAGACCTCCTCCACGCCGCTGCGATTCAGGGCGATGAGCGCGTAGTCCAGCATGCTCACATTCACCAGCGGCAGCAGAGCCTGGTCAGGGAGAGAGAGAAAGGGGAACGATTCAGACTCGTGGCCGTCGGACATGAATGGCGTACGCACCGTGGACCCCTCGTCGGAGAGCGGCTTAAAGTTCCACACATTGTTGTCGGCTATCAGTACCGCCTGCACAATTTCCTTTTCGAACTGGGCCATTTCCTTAATGTTGGCTATTCGGGACGCCTTCGATTCGCCCCGCAAGTTAAGTTGCTGAAGAAACAGCTGATTGTCCGTTTAAAGCTATCGTTCAATTTGAATGCCAGCAATCGATTACAACTCGATTAGTGTGTTGGTTTAACATTTCCCTTCTGAAAAGGTGAAAACACTGGCTAAATGTGGAGAATTTCATGAAACTTTGCTAAGAACAGAAACGTAATCAAGCGACGTGAAACGTAAGCATTTGACGTAAGCAAAGCTTTTAGTTGATATTTTCTCATATTATCAATTAAACTATTAAATAAATTGGAATATTCATAAGCTATTATATTATCAAATATGCCAGATATAGCCTGAAGTAAGCTAAACTGAGAACAGTGCCCCTCAATATCATCCCCAATTCCAAACCACCACCATTTCCGACCCCGCTACTCTCCGCCCACGAAAGCATCAAGTTGGTGAGTTTGAAGAAAAACGGTAAACGCAGCAGATTACGGAATTTAGTGCAGTTGTGTGTGAGTGTTGTGTGATGATGAGACGCAGAAACAGCGACCTGTGGAGATCAAACGCTAAAGTCATCGTATAAAAGCAACAGCCCTATAAAAACTGATAAAGCCACCGAAAAGTTGAACCTTCCTCCCGACAAATCTAAATCCCGGCCATAACCCAGCTCGAATAACACAAATAACAGCGCAAACAAGTCGAAGCGGAGGAGCGCCTGCAGCATAAAAAAAAAAGAAACTCAAAAGACGGGAGAAAAAAAGAAGAAAACAGCAAAAAACACTCAACTCGGATGCAGCCGCCGCCACATCGTTAATGAAGGTGAGTAAAACAGGTTTGCTTGGATAAACATTATATATTTTGATTTTGTTTTGGTTTATCGGTCGCGCTCCAAGCGGGCCGGGAAAGCGGGGGTTGGGGACTTTGAGCCAGGGTACAAAGTTCACAAAGCACAAAAACCACATGTGCGAATTCACTCCAATTTTGCACGCTCTTACAGTCGTGGTCATATAAATAGGTCAGTGGGTTGAATACAATATTATTTATTATTGTACTATGAAACTATTTCAATCATTTTTACACCCATAAAGGATTAATATTGATATTAAAATTCTGATCTTAAGTAATTGTTGGCTAAATATTTTGCAACTTTGTTGTTATCATGTTTTTAGTTTTTTTGCACAGTTTGCACATTGCATATAAAATGAAACTGGGCCTGTGAATTGCATTGCCTTTTTTATCCAACTGTTGAATAACAAGTATAAAATATAGTACTATATATACACCATATATAACTAGATACCACTGTAACACACTCTTTTCGCGCTCTCTCTCTCTCTGCATGTGCTCTCTTGATGCAGTTCGGTAACCAATGCAACAGAAAGAGATAGCAGCCGCCTGCATGCAAATTAAGCCAGGCGCGCGAAGGAAATAGAATTATGGGAATGTGGGAGGAGGAGTGAGCGAGCAACAGGGGCCTGCCTTTTAATGGCCTTGAGTTCTGCTTACGCTTGCTCTCCACTAATTGTTGTTGTTGTTGCTTTGCGGGGTGTTGTTTTTTTTTTTTTTTTTTGTTGTGTTGCATTCGTAACGAATGCATGTTGATTTGTGGCGGAACGCAGTGTCCATTTCAAACGCAGAATTTCCCCCAGCGAACACACGTTGGGGCTCAAAGTGTTAGGTTTCGAGTTCGAACACGTCTGCGACGAGGTGAATGCACCCGGTTTGGCTTATGGAGTTAAAACCAGAAAGGAAGACCCGTTTTAAGGGGAATCAAAATGCAATCGCAGGTCTATTTATACGAGTTTAACCAAAATTAATATCACCTGAAACTTTATAATATTTAGTTCTCGCAGATTGCATTACTTTAAATGGAAATTGGAGGCAGGTAAACCATTAAGACTAACTAACAACAGAATTAAAATACGATAGTCAGAAGTATTTAATTGATAGTATTACCTACAACTTATACTAATATGAATACCTCATTTAAATTTCGAAACAGGCATTTCCTTCCAGCTTGAGAGAGCTGTTATCAGTACCTAATTTCTTGGTAGACGTACAGGTGTTCGTAACGGAATCATCGCCCGCAGTCTTGAGTCAGTGGTCAAAGTCCCGTTAGCTGGTCAAAAATCTGAGTGATAAGCACAGGAGAGGCATGCAAGTCATGCGTAGACATCAAGAAGCCATTGCACAGCGATAGCGATAAGTTCAGGTCTCCAATACGGGGGGAATGTGCGGGGGGAGCTGTCTGTGAGGAGGTACTGCAAGTCTAGTGCTTTACAGCCACTGTTTTGGACGATTACCCCCACAATCTTTAACTCGAAATAATTGCCAACAATGGCTAATAGATGGGTTCTTATCTGGAATTTTTCTATGGAATGCAACGTGACAATTTAAAGGGCTTTCACTATAAATAGTAAGTGTGCAAAATAACAGATTGTATTGATTGGTTTGATTATTATTTTATTAATTAATTATTATTATTTTATAGGAGCAGTGTTCCCGCATATAAAGAATCAAACAAGGTTGCATCATTATCTTTTCGATCTTTTCACTTTCGCAGTTTACAGTTGCAGCTGCAGTCTGAGAGAGAGAGAGAGAGAGAGAGCGGGAGAGAGAGGCAGACGTTGAGTGAGTTTGGAGAGCCGGCCGGCGAGAGAGTGCATCAAGTGCAGCAACTGTAAAGAAATAGCAACGAAAAAAAAAACACCAGCAGCTGAAACAGAACTCATACACAGAGAGAAAAGAATAAAATCAAAAAGGTAAGTTTTAAATACATAAAAATGTCAATAAACTGTATTTACTCTTGCTGGGTTGTGAGAAATCCAAGAATAAATACATATGATAATGATATTAGAGATGAATTCGAAAATAAATACATATGATAATGATATTAGAGATGAATTTGAACTAAAACTATTATATTTCTCTCACTGTAGGCAGCCAGAGATACGCCAACGCGATCGTGCTCCGTTGTTGTTGTTGCTGCTGCTGTGTTGGGTGAGTGAGTGAGTGAGTGAGTGAGTGAGTGAGTGAGTGAGTGAGTGAATGAGTGACTAAGTGAGTGAGCGAGTATCGGCGGCAGGCGGCATTTACTTGGCACCGCGCCGCACGATCGCGACAGTCGCGTCTCAGCACCCGACAGCAGCAGCAGCAGCAGGAACAGCCACTCAGCTCCAGTCCGGACTCCAATAGCTCCTCCGCCTCCGCAACAGCCGCTCAAGTCTCTCTCCCAGCTCCAGCATGAATCCAGCTACTCAACTGCTGCGCCTGCGCAGCGCCTCCGCACTGGGTATGTGTGTGCCCCGCTCCAGCCGCTCCATTACGACCAACCGGCGGGAACGGACCACCGCCAGTGCCCAGCGTGAGCGGACGCAGGGCGTCAGTGAGACGGACAAGTTCCTACACTTTAGTCCCGAGGATGGCTACTACAAGACCTCGCCCTTTGACCCCGTCGTTGTGCCCAATGTGCCGCTGCACGAATATGTCTGGCGTGATTTCAAGAAGTGGGAGAGCCGTACCGCTGCGGTGAGTAGCTTATATACTTTGAAATAATAATCGAAATAGTACCTAAAGGGTACCTAAAAAGAAAACAGAGATAAAAGTACCGCAAAGGGAAGCTATTAAAGTGCAGGAAAAAGTGTCAAGTGTGGTGGCAAGTGTTCTAAATTTTGGATACTCTATTTTTTTTATTTGTGTACTCTTGTGCTCCGTCTGATCTTTGAAAACAAATTATAGAGATTATCATATATAAAAGAGTGAGAAAATAAATTAAAGTATTGAGAATATGTGCTTAAAAAATGGATAATCAGAAAGTGAAGTGACTTTGAAACCCTCTAGAATCCATACTGATCCTTGATACTCTTCAGGTTGCAAGTAATTCTCCGTGTCTTCTTTTAAATTCGATTAACGATCCTTGCCAGGCAATATCCTTTCTCTTTAAAGACTTAAATCCCCCAAGATTTACTGCCTCCCATGGGAATCGATCATCTGTAATCACACATTATAAAGGAATTAACAAATTTAATGATATTTACTTCCCCATTAGATCTCTCCTCCCCAAAACGTAGTAGAATCATAAATTTTTGGGCTATCGAAATTCGTTGTCGTAGGCGCCCCTTGACAAGTCCGGAGAATTCTTCGTTTGTTTATTGGCGGTTTATTGAACCTGAGAGAACCAAAACTTCTATATATAAAAAGCGATATTTATACGTACATATGTTCGCAGTCTGATTTGCGTCTGCCAAAGTTTGTGTGTTTTTTTGCACTCTTTTTTGTATTTATTTTTGCAATTCTTCGGCTTCTATTGTATCCTATAGAGCTCTCCCCCGTTTAGGGGTTCAATATCTGTGCCTGTATCGGTATCAGTATCAGTCCCGATAGTCTGGAGGAGTATGTGGGTCATATAAAGGCCCCTGCGATCTCTCTACGTCTCTCTTATCAGACACCGCTAATGACGGACGCACTTGATAAGAGCCTTCGGGTCTAACCCCCCAGTGTCTCAGTCTTGGGAGCGATAAGAGCGAAAGTGAGTGTAGTAAACACCCATTAAATGGGGCGGGGCACCTCCTACTCTAGCCACAAACAACCACTGCAAAATGAATACGTTCCGGTTCTCAACTTTCCTCGCAATCGGTTTGCGAATCCCGTTCCGGTGTTCCAGCTCATTGGGAGGAAATTGATCATGGGATCAAGGGGTCCAGTCCGAGTTCAGAGATAGGCAATGCTATGGCAGAATTCAACGATTAAAGGGGGTTCTCGGGATCATGCAAAACAATACCCATTATAAACTATATATGTGTACATGAATCTGTAACGTTTTTTATAAGGGAAACTGATACCCTTACAGGGTGTTTTAAATTTAGTCAGAAGCTTGAAACTATGTGAAGGAGTCATTTCCGACCCTATAAATCATATATATTCTTAATCAGCATTATGTCCTAGCTATGTCCAGCAAGAATTTAATTTTTTCAAAATTTTGAAAATTTTATAATGGGTTACATCGTTAAAATGGTCAAAAATTGACAAAAAATTTGAAAATTTTAACATTTTGGAGTATTCAGATTTATAAAGCTGATAAAAACTAGGATAGGAAAGGTTTCCGAACTAAAATTAATGATTTTTTGGCTTAGTTATGAGATTTTTATGTTTCGATATGTTTCAAAAATTGCCTTATAAAAATATAGTAAATATAGACTAATAAATGGTATTTTACTTTTAGTCAAAAGCTTGAAACTAAGTGAAGGAGTCATTTCCGACCCTATAAATCATATATATTCTTGATCAGTATTAAAAGGAGAATTTTTCTAGCCATCTTCGGCAAAAATTTAATTTTTAAAAATTTTTGAAAATTTTATAAGGGGTTACATCGTTAAAATTTTTAAAAATTGGTAAAAATTTAAATTTTTTTAAATTTTAAATTGAGTTTGCAGATTTATTACCCTAATAAAAACTAGCTTAGAAACGCTTTCCGATTTGAAATTGATTAATTTTTGGCTTAGTTATGAGAATTTTAAACTTTGATTTGTTGGTAAAATTGTCAAATAAAAATCTCAACAAATATTTATTAAAAAATGGGAATATTTTAAGCTTAGCTATGATAGATTTTCTATTCGATTCTATGATTCAATTGCCAACTGTAAGGTTATATAAACTGTAGCTTCATAATACTTTTGGGCTTTTTGTAATTAATAAACCAAAGATTAGAAGTATAGCCTTTTAAATAGTTATTTAATTTTTCCAAAGGTATTTCAAATGGAAAATGTTTAATGATTTCAAATAATACTCATACGTAAATTCTTTATGAAATAATAGTTATTTTTATGGATAGGTATTCACTTATAGCTTACAATTAACCATTTAAATTTTAGATTCGAAAAAAGCGTAGGTTTCCAAGTAGTCTTAAGACTATGGTAATGTGTTCCATATAGATCTGTACTCTGTGGAACTACACGTAACCCGTAATATGCATATATTACATTGCCCAGACGACCTTCGTCAATTGTTTACACTTTTCACTTTTCGCTAGGCTTTCCGTTTTGTGTGTTGCGCTTTTGTTTCGTGCAAATCAAAGTGCAAACAATTTTCATTGAAATTTATTGCCATCATTTGTCGGAGGAGGAGGAGGAGATCGTAACCAGAGCCCCTGGCAATTGTTGAATTAAATGCAATTAAAAGTGCCGAGCGTTTGCAAGCCGGTGCAAAGTTCGCTTTTTGTTTCAACTGGGAACACTCCTCCTAATGTAAACAGCCCGAGAATTGGAGGAACTACTCTGTTCTCAAGTGGTATTTTAGAGATAAGATATGGTTTTCAGTCATGTCATCATTATACTTTAGATTTGTCCATAACTGATCTACCTTTGTTTTGGGTTTTAGATCTTTTATAATTGTGTTCCTCTTATGGTTTTTATTGGTAAACAAAGGGTATTTATTTGGAGAAACTAAAGTTGAGGAACTTGTATTTAAGAATTAAGACTTATTTATAGAGATTTCAAGTTGGATAGGAAAGTTCTAGTTAAAGATGAAAGGAAGAAGGAAATGTATTATAGGTAGAATTGCTAGAAAGCTTGAATAACGAAGTCAATTTATAGTAAATAGTTTCTATATTTTAAAACATAATTTCCTCAGTCTCTCTCACATTGTTTATAAATAAAAATGAAACCGAATCAGACTTCTAAAAGCGTCTGAATGGAATTGCAAACTGCAATTGCCTTCTGGCATACCTTATTCTCCTTAAATAAATAATTATTCCACTTGAAGTGTCTCCTTACACATGTATACTCTATAAGTTTCATGTTTACAAGACCATAAAGTTCTGTGTAAATAAATAATTTCAATTCACAAAGGGTTTTTTTTGCGATAAAGATGTGTTTACAAGTTCGGTTTACTGCCTAGAATTTCTCAATTTATTGAGACTGCACTTGCAAGGCTAATGATGATTCATTATTGCAATTGTTCAATTTTAATCAATTGCTGTTTGATATAACACACACATATATATCAAGTGCTTTATAAACCCGAATGAACCCCCAATGAATTTTCATATAATGCCTATATAATGCGCTTTTAATTGCTTCGCCATTATTATTTACGCCTGCTTCTTTTTTTTGGCTACTCTCTGTTTGTTTTTTAATTTTAAGCTTATTTTTGGTTTGGTTTTTTTGTTGCTTTTTTTCGCTTGGTTTCATTTGCGTGTTGATAATATTTTTTTGATGGTTTTGTTTTGATTTTTTATTGGCGGTCGACGTCAGCATTTGGTCGAGGTCCAGCCTCCGATGGTATTTTGGACTGATCTCTCGACTCTTGTCGCCTCTACTCTCTGTCACTCTCTGGCAGTTAGCGTTGTCAATTTAGCTTATTTTTTTGGGAACTACAAAGTCCATATATTTTCGAAGTTTTTTGATTTATAATATATGATATTTTTAAAAGTTTTGTAATATTATGGGTTGTGTAAAGCACATGGACTTTAAGGAAGCAAAGTCTAAGGCTCAAAAGTGGGTCTCTTCATTTCTGCTTTTTATTTTTATAGATTTTTTAGAACTCTAAACTGGTGCATGCTAAATATTGAAGTTTCTTAGCATTAGATACTAATAAAAGATACTGAGAAACAGCTGATTCGTTTGATATATATTTTTGGAAGTTTTGTAAAGTGATCTTTAAAGCATCTTTTCGTAAAGAAGCAAAGTCTAAGGACCACTGGGGATCTCTACATTTCTTTGTTTAATTTGGGGTCTTTAAAAATCAACTTGTTTAGGTATTCCTCACTGAATATTTTAGTTACATAGCATCGGTTACTAATGAAAGATACTGAGGAACAGGTGATTCGTGTGGAAGTTTTGTAAAGTGATCTTTGAAGTATCTTTTCATAAAGTTAGTTTATAAGGCGGCAAAGTCTAAGGGCCATTGGGATCTTTTCAATTTAGCTTTTAATTATGGGCCTTAAAATCAATTAGTTTAGGTATCTCTAGCTAAATATTAAAGTTGCTTAGCTGCAAATAACGAGGAAAGATACAGAAAGGAAGGAAAGATACTGATACTGATTTTTCTCTATCTCTATTCTCTAGATTATCTATTAAGATTCATATTTGCTGGCTTTTCTGATACCTTCCCTCTATAATGTCTGAAAATTATATTGAATTGCAAGTTTTTCAACATTTTCTAATGGTTTTATGTTGATTTCCGATTAGCTTTATCTGTATCCTTTTCAATATCTAGATTTCATTCAGTTTTATCACTCTCTGTACCCTCTGGAACCCCTTTGGGGTGTAGACAATTGCCACTTATTGTATTTTTTTGACAGCTTTGCTAGCTAGACTTTTCTCATGACCGATTGTGGGGCAGCACCACCACTGATCACCACCGCCACCACTGGGCACCACCACCACCACCACCGGCAAGAGTCAACAAACGCCGCAGAGTAAATTGCTCAAAAGGTGGAGGGGTGTGGTAGGGAGAGAGGGAGAGAGAGAGAGAGGCGACTCGCTTTAGACTCTGCAGACTTTGTACTTTGCCCCACTGAACTTTGGACC